CATCTCACCACTAGGAGACTGGACTCGAGGCGTGGTTAAGTATTCCCTTCCGCTCTGGAAGTCAATTTATTTCTCGGCCAGCGAGAAAAAGTGTTTGGCCGAAGCCAAAAATAGGTTGACCCACTTCATTCGCTTGGCGAATGATCTTCGCTTCGCGGGAACAACTAAAACCACTATCTCGCTCTTTCCATTCTTCGGTGCTACCTTTTTCTTTCTAAGAGATGGGGTTGGGGTGTATAATTAACCTTGATGCACGACCAAGAAGAGATTGAGAATCCCCCTCAGTGGTCCTTTCAAACGAAAGTAATCAATTTGAAATAAAAATAGGCATACCACCAGTGCGAAGAGAGAGAGAGAGAGAGAGAGAGAGAGAGAGAGAGAGAGAGAGAGAGAGCACCACTGTGAACAGTAGAACAGAGACAAGCATCGATGTGCCAACTCCCGCCATTAATTCTCCTCCTTTTTAACGATTACAATAATATGATAATTTCTAAAGTTTAGTGACGTATTGCGAGAAACCAGAATATTCAGGGACTTAAAATATCAAACGTTAAGCAAAGGTTATTTAAATAGGGACTAACCAGCAATTTAGCGCCACTCAACTCAATCGGTGTCCGACAGTGTTTTTCAAACATGTTCTGATTTTCCATGCGACACAGAGAGCTGCTTCTTTCATCCATGGATGCTTGAAACATCGACAGCAAAAATAGTCTCTTTGTAACAAAGCAATACTTTGTGTGAATATGGGAACTGTTTTGAATCTAGTGAACCTTACTAATAATACATGCCATCCACCTCCTTGCTTACTGTCTCCAAGTAATAGATTTCCAAAACCCGGTGTTTTTCTCGCTCGTCCTGTCACGCCGATTCAGAGGTGTCATGTTGCTCGGAGAAGCCGTGTCTCTGTTTCCCTATTGGTAACTTAGAATCTGACAGTAATGGTTGCACACCACGTGTTCGATCATTTGTCTCTTTTTTTGTTTTCCTTATGGTGTCTCCTTCTTCTCTTGTCAATGAGTTTCTGCTGAATTTTTTTTTTAATTTCAAGGGTCTTTTTGTGTGATTTCTTTACTTGATATTTAGGGGAATTTGGGTCTTCTGAAGAGGAATTTACAAGATGTTACGAGCATGAATTATTGGGTTGTGCGAGATTACTATCGTCTCGTGGATTCTGTCAATTCCATCGAACCACAAATTCAAAGCCTTTCGGATGAGCAGGTTCAACTTTTAGTATTCACTGCTTTAGAATTTTTTTTTGGTTTTCAGTGAATATGATTTATTCATTACTGTATTATTGGTTTTTGTTTGTTGACCTCTTTTAGCTGAAAGCCAAAACTTCAGAATTTCGGGAAAGGTTATCACGAGGGGAGTCCCTAGCAGATGTGCAAGCTGGTTTGTTCAAAACCTTGGATTTTACTTTATTTTTTTTAAAAAAAAAAAAAAAAAAAATATTAAGAATGATACTTGGTTTTGACAAATCTTTGTGATTGCTTTCTCACTTTTTTTGTACGTTATTCCCTGTTCTAGAGGCGTTTGCTGTCGTTCGTGAAGCTGCAAAGAGAACGATTGGGATGCGTCATTTTGATGTGCAGGTCTGCCGATATCTACACTCAAAAACTCTAATACTTAAGAGAGACTGTGAAGCATACTTATAGTTTTTTGTTGCATCAGATAATTGGTGGAGGAGTGCTCCATGATGGATCCATTGCAGAGATGAAGACAGGTGAAGGGAAAACACTGGTCTCTACATTAGCTGCATATCTTAATGCATTAACTGGCGAGGGCGTTCATGGTATGTTGTCTGCTTTCTCTCTCAAATTTGACTGATATTTTGAGAAAGGCCCATAGTAGTTGCCTCATCGTTCAATCACTATTGATAAAAAAAATTTATATACCTAAATGGAAAATGTATCGGTTAATATGTTGCTAAAGTTGTTGATATTGATTTTCTGGTGGCAGTGGTTACTGTGAATGATTACCTGGCCCAACGTGATGCAGAATGGATGGGTCGTGTTCACCGCTTTTTAGGCCTTTCAGTTGGTCTCATTCAGGTAGTTTTCACAAGTGCTGTTTGCATTCTACCTTCTAAATATCAAAGCAAAAAACTAGTGGCAATCTTGTCTACAACTGCTTGTACAATTAGCGAGGAATGAAAGCTGAGGAGAGAAAATTCAACTATGGCTGTGATATAACATACACAAATAACTCGGTAAGTATTTCGTTCATATGGTTTTTCTACAGGGTTATACTTTACTATATTTTTAATCTCACATTTCCTTTAACTAACACTTGTGCATATCTCAGGAGCTTGGATTTGATTATCTGCGAGACAACCTTACTTCAAACAGTGAGCAACTTGTGATGAGATGGTAGATCCTTTAAATCTCTTCACTCCTCGGTTGGTTCAGTACTGACAGTCTATGATCTACAGGCCAAAACCATTTCACTTTGCAATAGTTGACGAAGTGGACTCAGTCCTTATCGATGAAGGCAGAAATCCTTTGCTAATAAGTGGCGAGGTAATACAGTTCAGTTTCATAAGCTTAAAAGTTTTATTCTTGGGAGATTAGATATTTGGATTATAGTCTAAATCTTGTTAAGAATTGCGGATGCAATAAAGAAAGAAAAGCAATATCATTGGTACATAATTGTAATGATTGATGGAGTCCTTTATGTTGTGCTTGTATCACAGGCTAATGAAAATGCAGCACGATATCCAGTTGCTGCTAAAGTGGCTGAACTTCTCGTTAAAGATACTGTGAGTTTTACCTTATCCTCTTTGCTGTTATTTATTGTAACCTTTTTGCG